AGTGGCCTAATGCAGATATGGCGACATGCAGTGTCATGTATATTATAACTTGTTTAAGTATTAGATCAAAGCGGTCATTATTGTATCTCCCACGAAGGAGAGTTCCGGTTCATGCGGCCTTGTTTTTCTTGGAATTCCGTGCTCATTCACTATAGCAAAGAGTTATGTACGGCAAATATGTATTGTATTTATAGAGTAGCGTGTTGGGAGGTTAAAGGGGTACATTTATATCCCTTTGAGACTCAGCTAACTTTATTTGTATAAACTTCAATACAGCAAAAAATGCTTTCTTTTTCACAGCGATGGTAACCGTATTTTTGTAATTGCATCCAAACACTATCATGCGAGAAAATATTGATCACCCCATGTAGCACCAAGAAGATAATGAATATCGTATATTCGACCTTTGAAGTAAAACATTAGTATAAAGGGTCCTATTGCTTGTTACACATGTAAATATAAAAAACGGTGTAAGTTATTTCAGTCAAAATATTGTTTTTTTGTCAGATCAATTGATTGAAATAATCTTTCATACATGACCGAAACTACCTTTATAAATACAAAAATTATCACCCCTAGCAAGACTTATTTTGAGCAATCTTCTTGTCCAAAATAAACGATACACTTGTACGCATTTTTCTTTTAGAAAAACACACAAGCAAACATTTGAAAACTTTATAAAGTAATTTCTGTGTGTTCAAAACTTACTCGAAATAACAATTATCATTTTATGTCACAAGGAAGCTTACTCTGCTTTGTGGATGATTCATAAATCTCAGTGGTTGGACGCAACCTAGTGGCTTAAATGTCATCTAGCATAGTGTGCTTGATATCATAGTTAAAACTAACTTTTCACATTTGTAAAGTTATAAAAGGTTTACTCTTTGCTACCTATGTTTCGAAATACTCGAATGCCTTCCTATGATCTTTCGTAAGAATGATAACTCCTGAATTGACGAAATGGCCATAAAGGACAATACATGAACAATGTACATGTAATTCTACTTCTTTAGCTTTCTGCATTGAATAACTACATTTTTAAATATGTGCTGCCTTGTGTTGAAATTACTTGTATAGTGAATGTTTCATCTTAGGGCTAATCTTGTCATCATATAATTACTGTAAACGAACACATTGTTATAAATGCACTTAACTATGAAAGCTCATGTATAAAGTGTTGTCTATTGCATATTTTGGGATGCGCCATTTCATCAACACGATAATATGATAATATTTAATAATACGCTAAAATGAGTACGTTACAGTATGTGAGTTGTTATACGTACTAGATAGTATAACCTGTATCTTATTTGAAATTGTTGATCACTAGGACAACAGAATTTGGGATGTATAATAATAAACGTATATTTTTCCACGTCATCTTTCAGATTTACGAGACTTGGTGGACAGTTTTGGGAGGAACAGGGAAGGGAAAATGACAATAAAAGAACTGCGTATGTGCTTCAATTTGCTTGGATTAAACCC